CTAATCTTACAAAACGCCAAACACGTTATTACAAGGCAAGAAACCTAGATGAAGCTCTCTGGAAAATCCCTATTAGGATCGAGAATGAGTGATATCTATAGTAATCATATGTATATAAGACAAGAAAGAGAACGAACATATGGAAAAGACCCTATGTCATGAGTCATCTTATGGTACGTCATATTACGTGCCATAACAATAAAGTTTAAAAAATTGAAGAAATATTTGAAACAAGAGCAACTACATTGTTTCAAAATGGAATTCGATCTAGAATATGAATAAAACGATGAATATTCACTTGTAATGATGAAATTATCCTTAATTATTAATACATTGGTACATCATTTCCAAACTTCTATTACTGAACCAAATAGATAAAACGTAAAAATGTTTTATATTGAATTGTATAATTTGAAAAATTACATCTCCTTATTTACAACTGTGTATTACATATTACATGTAAAATTAGCACTAGAATGACCAAAGATGGTATCCAATGCTATTGAACGCCTTAGTGGTACTTATTAGCATTTCTTCATAAAATGATTGATTTCGCTTTAATAACTGTTTCTAATAAGCGCTAAAAAGTGAATGTCTAGCTTACATATTCATCATCAGAAATTGGCAACAATAATCATTACTTTTGTTCATGTACCAAAATTAAAAAAGATTTAAGGTATTTCCTTAACTTTAAAACTACATATTTTATCCTTTTTTTGTATGTAGCCTGGCATACGAATTAAAATCTATGTACTTTTATAAATTTGAATTTAAAAAATGAAAAGAGTACAGTCATAGGATGACTTTTGAAATTAATTGAAGATTTAAGATTACACTTACCAATTTATCACCACTATATTCGATGCTTGCACGGCCATATAGGACACAAATGAAACGCGAAAACAACTCAACTGGCATATAGTCAACTATGAAAAAGAATGAAAAGTGATTACTTTTTTCTCATGACTTATATAATAGCTGTTTCTACTGAACTTTGATCGGCCTTGGCATTCCTTCTTTGAGAACGAATAGTTTCATCTCATATTGAATAACGGCACGTTGGAAGGACATAGTTTCGAAGCATCCCCTTTAAAAATTCTTTTCTCATTCTCATGCATCTTTACATTTAGATAAAATGAATACTTCATATATGCGCCTGTCTAAAATACTAATTTTCAAGCATTCTCTCATGTAAATCAGTGGGAAGAATGCTTTCCCATCTACATTCTTTCCCAGAAAAGGACAAAGTTCAGTTTCTCTCAACGACTATACAAACCGGCACCATTTTCATTACAATATCCATCTTTCATCTGCTCCAAAAGTAACTTCTATACTTCTTCTTGCAAACTACGCATTCACACTAATTTTATTTCAAGTTATCTACAGGCCTCAAACAGCAAATTCGGATATCAATCAATTATGTTAAATTATACAACAATACAATCTAAAGATATTTCACATCCAATATAAATCAATCAATTATCATCAACTCGCCGAAATTAGTTTTCATCCAGAAACCCTTCAAGCTGGAAAAACAACAGTCTTCACTTGCAGCCGAAGCAGACAATAATTCAAAATAAAACCAATAACCACCAATTCATAACTCAGAAGAAAAAAATTACAAGCATCTACATTCATATATTGTGATTTCCACCTAGCCAACAGCCACGAAATCCTCAAATCTAAGGTAAGCCTGAAAAACATTCTGTATCCGACAAAAGGAACACTTCGGCTAGGTTAACCCAGTACTTCGCACGTATACAAACATAACAGTCAACAGTTTATTCAATATACTGTAGAAAGAAGCATGTTCTCATCCAAAACCGTTGATTTCCTTTATACGACAGCACGAGACCAACGCAGAAAAAGCTGACATAGAAAATATTTTTTATTTAAAACACGAATTAATAGCCAAAAGCAGTTTTCTTCGATAAGTATCAGTAGTACGAGAACAGACATACGGAATACAAGAACAAAAATCGCATGGCGATATAAACTGCTGATAAACATTTCCACTTCTTCTATTACAATTGATGAAAATATTTCATTTTTGTTGATTTTGTAACAGAATAATGGAATTTTGCTGTGATTTTGCTTGAAATAAGCTTTTTTTTCTTTTGAAAATGTTTATTTTGAGTTAACTGATACAAAATCATAAGCCATCTGATGAGTCTTCTTGAGCAGAAGATGAAACTAGCCATGATAGCTCGACACCCACACTCTCACCCTCACCCTCACCCACACCCTCAAGATTGCAGGATTGTAATCGGATTAGCAATCATGAAGAACTAGTGGGTCTGGTGGTAGTATTTCGAGATCGGTTTTGCAAGAAGTTTGGTAGTGTCAGCAGGAGGAAGTTGGAAAATATGGGATTTGTATTGCTATGTTTGTTCGCGGTTTGTTACGTTTCGCCGGTTCAGATGGGTGCTTTCCAGTTATGGGCGGTTCTTGGTTTCAGGATACGGTCGGATAATTGTTGCGGTGCAGAAAGAGCAGGGAGTTTTTGGAAATTATGCGGTAAGTTTTTTGGTCATTGTAGTATTTTTTGTTTCCGTAGGGTTATGTCCTGACCCGGCTGTTTTATGTGATGCAATGTTTTGTCGGATTTTGGCGGCTTTACTGTTTTCCGTGAGGATATGAGGGGAACCGGTCGATGGATTTAGTGGGAATATCAGGGATCTATTTCCGAGGCATTCCGGTCTGAGACACTGCTTCAACATTCCTATAGCTTTCCGTCGGGAACCTTTCGGATACGACCAGATCGAGTCGGAATGAGCTGGAAAAGGGCTGCCTTCCTTTCTGTTCCGATTGAATCTGGAGGCCAGAACGTTCGTCCTGGGATCGATCCTTATAGACTTGTTGCGATTCATTTCTTAAATCAATAGTAATCCGCGGTCGCCTTAGGCGAGATGGCAGTTATTATTCCCTTTTCTGAAAGAAAGGGTTATAGCCTCATAAATCAGGCCACTAAAATGCAATAAGTTTGTTTGTTTGCATAATCCAATCAGATTGCAGTATTTCATAAATCAATGAAAACTTAACCAACCTCATTAGAAAATGACTGATGACAGGTAGTCGAAGTCGAGGATCACGAATCCGTGGTTAGTTTTTCGAAATTCCAATTAGCTCATTAGCTAATTAGCTAATTAAGTAATGAAAATTTTCTTCGTTGTCAAGTAAGGGTCGACCGAAGGGTAATCAGGGTCGAGGATCTCGAATCCGACGCTAGTGTTGCCTAACTAATTATTAAGTTTTCATTAATTAGCCACGACTTCTTAACATCCAGTTTCAGAGTAGACCAAAGGATTTCTGACGTCGGGAAATTCGAATTTGAGGGCGAATTTCGTTTTATTCGCTAAGCCTGGGCTTGTTCCTGCCTCTTTACAAAGGAGATATTTTTCTTTATCTGTTCTAAAATCTTTTGTAGAAGATGGTGAGCTGAACGCTATTCACGGACGTCATGTGTACAAAGATAGTAGCTCAAGAACTTACACGAAAAGATCTGATGCATTGTACATAATGATGTTTCTAATTGAAGAAATCCGAAAAAGTGATATGAGCTTAGTATCATCTTTGTTTTGTAGGCTACATACTTCATGTCTTTTTATGGGAATTTAGTAGAAGTAGTTCGCAAAGTGATATACTCGTCGGTGGAATTCCATCTTAATAACTACAGACGCGTGGACTATACAAACAGTATTCAGAACACATACAGCACTATGAAAGATGTTCGTTTCGAAGCAAATCATACAATAAGAATTTCTTATCTAGTTTCTTTTGGTAGTCGAATGAATAGAAGATCATGACTGTCGAAGCGACAATAAAAGAAAACCCAATCGTTCAGTTTGAAAGTTGATCAAAGGCGAAAGGAATAACAGAGACAGCATGGCAACGGCTAGCCGTGAGTGACCGACCGGATGGAGGTCGACGAACGACTAGGCGTTTAAATGCTAGATTAATCCTAAAGTGTACGCTTCGAATAACCTTGCCAGGTTTCAGATAATTGTGAAAGGTATTTGACGAACGGATATTCCTCAATGAAAATATTCGACAAGGTATCATTTTGTTGACAGGAGAGAAAAGAATTGGTTTATCGCTGGAAGACACAAGCGAATGTTCAAACTTTTGAAGCAGTCTACTGTATATCGTCCGTCTATGAGTGACTTAGTAAAGCATTTATGNACTATTCGTCCAAAGAGAGAAAAAAGTTATTTCAGCTGAACGAGCTGCTCGTTTGACAATTTGCTAGAATTCTTTACCTAGACCAATTTCGCTTCCTGAAATCTTCTGAAATTATAGCGCCTAGTCGCTTGTCGGCCTCTCTCCAGTCCACCACTCACCGCTAGCCGTCGGTACCTAATAAGTGTTTAATGATATTTTCATATTAAAAAGTACCTCGTTCTTGTTGAGTCCGCGTCTCTAGCAAAGTTGCCGAAATTCTTCACAACTTCGTGACCTACAGTATATCTT